AGCAGTGGAGGATGGCTCAAGGGCCATCCTGAACCCAAGTGGGAGACTCAGAGGAAGCTCCTAGCTCCTGGCTTCTAATCAGCGTAGCTCTAACTGTTTCAATCAGCAAGAAAATGAAGCAGCAGACAGATGGGCTATCTCTCTCTCTCTAATTCTGCCTTTCAAATAAAAATAATTGAAAATTTTTCAAAGAAATCTTGAAAAAAAAATGATGTAATCATTACATTAAATTATCCCCCACTACATACACACACACACACACACACTCACACACACACACTCACACACACATACACTCACTCACACACACACACACACACACACACACACACACACACCCCTGCACACATACAAATACCAGGCCTTGGCAGATTCACAGGTGAGGTGAAGCTATTCCCTCTAGCACCAAACAAGAGTTCCTACCAAGAAAGTATTAGAGGTAAATGGGCAGTGAGTAAAATGAGGACAAAGCCCAGTGGAGAACACACAGCATGCTCTATGACACTAACTGCTATAGCACAGGGGAGACAAACAGAAAGTATGCCCGTTTGGGCCAGGATGATTAAGGCAGACTCCATGAAGGAGAGGTTGAGATCATGGGTGTGGGCCAGAAGTGCAAAGGCCCAGGGCTGAGCATGCAGCAAATGTGCTTACCGAGGAAGACAGGGGCAGTGTCCCAGGCAGAGTGGAAAAGACAGGGTGCTTGTGGATATAGACTCACAGGGCAGCCAAGCCACAGTAGAGCTGACCTCTGTGGTCACAGGATCACCCCAAGTTACTGGGCTAGAAGGACCAGAGTGGGCAGGTGCTGCCATGCAGGCCAGAGCACAGGCAAAGACAGAGATGAGGGGCTGGCTGCTGGGCATACCAGCAGGAGGAAAACAGTAAGATTTGCCAGTGAGTTAGCTGGTTATAGGAGAGAAACAAGGTGCCACAGGGTACTGCAGGACTCAGAGCGTGAGCAACTGGGAGAAGGCTTTGCTGATGAACGTGATTCTTCTGGCAAGGCCATTGGAGGAGAGCCAGATGCAACCATGTGTGGTCCAGAGCTTGCAAGGGCAAGGTGCCCATTTGGCATAAAATGGGGCAGACTAGAAGAATGGGAGGAGATTGTGGCACTATGCACATTTTCATTCCGGTTGCCGAGACAGACTTCTAACACCTTGCGCAGCAACAGTAGTGCAAGGATGGCTGGGTGAAACATCAGGTGGAAAAGCTGACTCGGCGAGGTTAAGAGATTGGCTAATGCCACAAAGCTGGGAGATGATCCAGAACTTCTGGCTTGCACTCCACCTGTGGCTTCCAGCTACCTCATTTGTTCATATCCAGTTTTTCTCCCTCTCTCTCTCACTCACTGTAGTTTGTCTTCTTGGTTTTAAGCACTTTTATAAGCAGCCTGGTTAGCCTCAGCAGTTGCAATTTCATAAACAAAAAACAGTTATGTTTCCGGATGCCTCTTCCAGCTTCTGAGATGTGTCTGTGTTCAAAATTGTGAACTCAGCAAGTGGAGAGCAAAGCAAACTCCACTTCTGCTACACATACTGTGCCTGACCTCATAACCAGCCAGGCATAGCACAGCAATTCTCATGGAGCTCCCTGCCGGCGGCCTTCAATCCACATTGTGCAATGCCGGCAGCAGCCCCTCCATCTTGACCAGTCCCACCTTTGCTCAGGTAAGGAGGGTCAGTTAAAGGGAAGCCCCAGCTCTTTCAGCAGGCAAAGAAGGGGATACTGTGGGAAGAAGCTTCAGCTGGATAGACCAGGAGGCTGTGTGCTCGGGGTCTTACAGGTGGCCCACTTTAGTCCCTGCAGCTGACCTTGCTAGGCCTCCACCCAGCATTTCTGATGATGAGTCCTGGTGTGTGTCTTGTACCTGGAGGAAGACTGCCGGAAGTCACAGCAACAGCAGGTACAAGACACGATGCTCGCTGATCGAGGCCAATCAGAATGAAGAGGGAAGAGAACGGACCCTACGAGAATGTGCAAAGATGTTTCAAGATTTAAGCAGAGTCAAGCAGGCTTGTGGGGAAGAGGGGCATTCCTGGAAGGGGATCCAGAGGCACAGAAACAATTGAAGCACTGGGCTGGAGGAAGAAACCTGCAACAAATACCTTGAACCCTGGCTGGGCCAGGCCCCACGCTCAGTGGGGACCAGGAGAAGATAGACTAACGCTTCCACCTGACCCATCTGTCTCTAGCCACACTCCCTTGTTACCCAATTCATGGAGGCTGACATCCTGGCAGCCCTACAGAGTCCCACAGCCCTGCTCCACCCTGCCTGGATGGCCACACTTGTACCAGCTCACCCTTTGCTTCACTCACCTGGATCCGGCTCGGGTGGATGCCAGTAAAACCTCCACCCCAATGCATGCAGATATTTTTATTATGAAAATAACATCTTCACTGTATAAACCTCTCAGTGGTGTAGGATCAGATATCAGCAGTAGGCAGACTCGAAGCCAGCCAGCCCCCAGGGCTGACAAAATCATTCACAGACAGTTCCCAGGGCCTGGGCCACAGAGCAGTAAACAAGTCTCCAGTTAGTTGCTGAATGAACAACAATTGGCTGTAGATAAAACTGTCTTGGAACCCAGGCGCGCCTTCTAAATCCCTCAACACACAAACCCAAAATGCCACGCCTGAAACAGCAGGTGTTGGCTCTGTGGTCTTCCATGACTCTTCCCATCTAGCATCAAAGGTCTCAGTCCAACAGGGTCTCGAGGTAGTTAAAGATTGAGCTGGGGTACACCAGCACGCTGGGAAATGAGCTAGGTCGGCTAAAATTGGAAAAACCACCATAATGTTACTCTCCCTTGCTTTCCACATTATTAAGTGTAAGTGGTACCAAGGATTCAATTCCAACAGTATTCTCCAAGCATCTATTTCACCTTTTTTAGGATCCTATGCCAAGGCTTCCCTGGAGATGGCCAACATCCAGGACTTTTCCCCCAACTCAGTCCTGATACAGCACATTCACCTGCCCCGACCACTTGTGCTGGTTTGGAATGGAACCACTTTCAGGTAGCTCCTCCAAAGAGCAACAAAATCCACTGTTACTTAGCCCTGCCCTGAAAGGGCATTTATTTACATGCCTGTTAGCCAGAGTGAGAGCAGGGGCTATGGAGGGGTGGGGTCTGGGACAGACAGACCCCAGAAGGAAGGAGGCCTCTGGGACTGAAGGCAGAACTGACAGGACACAGGGTGCAGGACAGCAGCGAGAAGGCCATGACTGGGAGGGAAACGGACGCACACATAGTTAGAGTGGGGGAAGAGTCAGTCAGACTCGCCTGCGCCTTGGAGTGGGGTCAAACTCCAGCCGACAGAGGAGGAGAAGTGGGCTGGCCTTGATTTTGCAAGCTCTTGAATGCCGTGACTTCCAGAAACTGGCTGTGTTGCTGCTTTCCTCTTATGACCCAGCTAGACTGCATTCCCCAGCTTCTGTGGCAGCCTCGTCTGGCCATGTGACCCATCCCCGGCCAGCGGAGTGTAGTCGGAGTGATGTCATGCACAGCACTTCCAGGCCTGGCCTGGCTCCCGCTGCCCTAGGCTGTGGCTGGGCTTCCATCCAAAGGCTTCTGCCTGCACTCATTTCTCTCTCTCTCTCTCTCTCTCTCTCTCTCTCTGCTAGTTTGCAGGTCAACATTCGTGGCAAGCTGGGAGCCACTCAGCGGGGAAGGCAGAGCCTCTGTCAACCTCATCCTGCTGTGATCAGCGACACAGAGCACAGCACCTTCTCCCTCAGCCTGTCTTCTTGAGTGAAGACGAATGACACTTGTCCTGTAGAGACTTCAGCTCCCATCTGCAAGAGCATTCATGGATGAAGGGCTGTGGGGGATCAGTATTCCTAGGCTTGGGGGCTACAGGTTCTTCCTTGGGTCCCCAAATGCCATATTTTCAGTGGGAGGAAGCCTGCTGACCACAAAGAAGCTGGTGTGCAGGTGGGCAAAAGATAACGGCAACCCCCCAGAGCAGAGACTATGGAGGGGCTGGTGAGAGATGAACCTTGGGTGGTGGTGATTGTCATCCTTCTCCTCTTCCCTAGTCAACACTGTTTTCCCTGTTGATGAAAATGCTTCCCAAAGTCCAGCACTGTCCTCATTACCCAAAGCCAAGTGCATATCTCTCCACTGGCAAGGTTGGCTAGCCCACAGCGCTTGACACTGAGCACCAACTCCTTTTTAGGACACTATAGAGCTTTGCTAAAAGTAAGGTGTGGCATTCCCTGTGACGGTCCAAGAGATCCATGTTGGATCTGCTGCCACCGATGCTGTCATCACATTGCCACAGTCCCTACTGAAACACATTTCCCCACTGCATGGAAAGATAGTAGAAGGAGCCAGGCTCAGGGCAGCTTACTCAAATGCTGTGGCACTGACTCTTGGAAGGGCCAGTGTTGTGGTGCAGTAGGCTAATCCTCCACCTCAACACTGGCATACCATACGGGCACTGGTTCGTGTCTCAGCTGCTCCACTTCTGATTCAGCTCTCCACTTATGGCCTGGGAAAATAGCGGAGGATGGCTCTAGTTTTTGGGAACCTGCACCCACATGGACATGGACACCTGGAAGAAGCCCCTGGCTCCTGGCTTCAGATCAGATCAACTCCAGCTATTGTTGCCATTTGGAGAGTGAACCAGCAGAGGGAAGCTCTCTCTTTCTCTCCTCTCTATAACTCACATAAAAATAAATAAATACATTTTTTTTTCTTAGACCATTTTGTTCTTTCAATCGTTAGACGGCTTCATGTCATTTCCTTCACATCATAGGTGTATGCCCCTCCTTACTCTTCCTGCTCGGAGTGTAGCTATCAAACTTTTTATTTTGTTAACATTCTTCGCAAAAGTGAACACAGTCCAAGCTCTCACTGAGGTAAGCAAGATGCTTGGGATCAAAGAGGTAGAAATCTGTTATTTATTGGCCCAGGGGAACCAACCCTCAAGGGCAGTCAGGGGTAAAGATGGCCTTGCAGGGGATCAAGTCTGGGAGTTGAATGCCTCAGGGTTCACCTTCTGTGTCTCTGAGTTCAGGATGACTTGTAGATACCGCCAAGCAAAGGAGCTTCTCCCTGCAGAGGAGGCTTCGAGACCACAGCAACTCTGACTCACAGTCTTTGGCAAGAAAGGAAGAGAGCTTTTGCTCATGGCTCCACTTTGTAAAAGTCTGGTTAACTCAGCCTGGCTCAACCTGGTTACACCTCTTGGAACTATCGGCATTGTTCCAAGGGTGAAATCATTTCTTCAGCCCGAGTCTCATCAAAGAAATGGGGCCTGATCCTAGGAGAGAGGGAGACGGTGTGGTGAGCAGTCAATCACAGACAACTGCTATCTTAGCCATCGTGTAAGTTCCCACCCCTCAGTGTGCACACCTCCTGGAGCTGTCATCTCTGCTCAGTATGGCAGATGGCAACCAGTTGGGTACTGGGAGGGGAGACCACATACCATAGGAAGGGGCAACTCTACCAACTTCCAGCCCATGCTCTGCGTAGGACAGAATGATTTCAATGACCACTTCCAGTTGCAATACTTCCATCTTACCTCTCTTTCCTCTTTCTGTAAATCAATTTACCAGCATCAGTATCATGTCTACCATACTTCTCCCTTAGCCTCCAAAAGCCAGTGACAGTGCCTTAGCTAGGAATAGCCTCCCCTGAAGCCCATAGTCTCTTAAAGGCTTCTGGGCTTACCTTAGCTGGATGCCTGGGAGGGGAACTGGTCTGAATGATCTGATTTACAGATTCAATCAGCAATGGGTGAGGATGCAAATGAAGGCCTTCATCCTGAACACATGCCAGTATTTTTCATGTCACTAGCCCCTCAACAACACAGGAGAACATCTACTTACGTGGTATTTACATTGTGTGGAGTGTCACAAGTTGATCTTGAGATAATTCCAAGTACACTGGCTAATGTGCATAGATGGCATGCAATTATTGTGCCATTATACATAACAGACTTGAGCAACTGTGGATTTGGGTAACTGTGGGGGGTCCTGCAATCGACAACAGACAAAAGAGGGAAAAAGTAATTCGTTCCCTGGTCATAAATGACAGGTTCATTCTAAGGGTGTCACAAATGCACTGAATTTCTACTGAGTAGGAGGTTGTTATGAACTCAACATGTCAGAGGTCAAAGCCCTCACATCCGATATGACTCTATCGGCAGGGAGCAGCTTTGCACAGGCTGCAATGGGGTCAGTTGGATCATCCCTTTTCCCATATTGCTGTTCTCCTTATGCAAACATAAACAGATGGGCTGACATGATGGCATAGCAAGTTAATCCTTTGCCTGCAGCCCTGGCATTCCATATGAATGTCAGCTCTGATCTAAGCCTCTCCACTTCCCATCCAGCTCCCTGCTTATGACCTGGGAAAGCAGGAGAGGATGGCCCAAGTCTCTGAGCCCATGCATCCACATGAGAGAGTCGAAGGAATCTCCTGGCTCCTGACTTCAAACAGGCCCAGCTCTGGCTGTTGTGGTCATTTGGGGAAGTGAACCAACAGATGGAAGATATCTGTGTGAGTGTATGTGTGTGTGTGTGTCCTTTCTGTGAATCTACCTTCCAAATTAAAAAAAAAAGAAAGAAAGGAAGAAAGAATAAACTGAAGAAAGAAAAGCATGCAGAAACATACTGGAGCTGTGCTGTGGTATAGTGGCCTAGACCTCTAACTCACGCCACTACAGTTGATTGGATCATTGTGTTGTTGACTGATGTAAGTCTGTTTGATTGAGTGGTTTGCTCTTAGTTGATTGGATAATCATTGCTTAAGAACCCCTGACCATGGCTAATCAGAACTACTCTCTTCTTCCACTTGTGGTAGAACAGGACAGTACACCACTCTGCACTGATGAATGAATTAAGACTCCTGAGCTTCTAAGAGTCTGCCTCCTACTCATTGTTTGGGATAGATGTGATCAACTCTTGACAGTATGGCTTTGGAAAACACCAGAGGATGGCTCAAGTGCTTGGGGCCCTAAACCCGTGTGGGAGACCCAGAAAGAGGCTCCTGGCGTCAAATCAGCTCAGCTCTGGCCATTGTGGCCATTTGGAGAATAAACCAGCAGATAGAACATGTCTCTCTCTCTCCTCCGTCTGTGACTCTGCCTTTCAAATACAAATAAAATAAACCTTTCAAGCAAATGGACAGACACGGAGGGAAGACCACAGGAAGGCACAGGAAGGATGCCAGCAAGCCTGGGGGGAGATGCTTAGAATGAACCGACCTGGCAGATAGGTTGGCCCTGCACTCCCTCAGCACAGGAGCCAAGGCTGGGAGGACATACTAAGCCTCCCAGGATGCAGCACTCCTTACAGAAGCTCTCACAGGACAACAGATAGGTGCAGAAATTGAATCTCTACTTCTATATTCCGCCCTTTCTGCAGTGCTCTCTCCTGCCTCCCTTCTGCCTAGGACGACCCAAATTCCTATCTCATCAGAAAACCTGCAATGACCCCTTGGCAGCAAATAAGCCCAGACTTGGACCATGAGACCAGAATCCTACTTTTGGGCACATTCTGAAAACCAAGAGGCACGTGCAAGAGGGATTTAATCCTACCCCCTTGTCTCCCTTTGCAGAATGTCTCTCATTTGGATCTGAGATGAGACTAGCCCACTGGAGGGGGGAACAGCGTAAAAGAAAACGCTGCCAAGGACTTGCCAGGACTTGGGGACCAGAGCTGGATGTTACCTAGACAGAAAACACGCTGAGAAACACAGCCGAACTGTGAACTGCAGACACCCTCAACCTGAGCAGCCTATCAAGTAGGTGCTGTCTCAGTGGATAGGGAAATACTTGGTTCCAATTCAAAACAAAATGCATAAAATCCATAATCATTTTGATAAGGTTCACCCACCCAGCCACCCCCAGACAGTCCCTAGGAGCTTTCCAGATGTAGACTGGTTGGACTCGGAATCCTTACTTTGAGACGGCTCAAGGAAAGCAGAGGCCATCACACCAGTCAGGTCAGGTGAGTGACACACAGGTCGGAGTCTTCCCTGATATGGCAGGCTATGTAGTTAACACTACAAAGCCATGGAGAGGACTCAGGCTAGGGTGCTTGTGACATCAGCATCCCATATTGGAGGGCAAGTTCAAATCCTGACTGCTCCAATTCCAATCCAGCTCCCTGCTGATATGATTGGGAAAGCAGCAGAAGATAGTCCTTGCTATGCATGTGGGAGAGCCAGGTGGAGTTCCAGACTCCTGGCTTCAGCCTAGCCCAGTCCCAGTGATTCTGGCCATTTGAAGACAAAAGATCTTTCTCTGCTTCCTTTCTCTCTCTCTCTCTCTCTCTCTCTCTCTCCCTCTCTCTAATGGTACATAAAGAATCTCTGTCTGAACCAGCCCAGGGACAGGTGCAGGCTGTGAGGACTTGCCCTACAAGGCTGAGTGAGTACTCAGAAAACGCTTCAGGGTGCAGAGGGGCAGACCAATGTGGACGAGCTTGCACAGCTGCTAAGAGACAAACCAGTTCAAACACACGTCAGCACTTTCCTGCTCACTTGACATTTCCAGTGCTTTCCTGCCTTCTGGAACCATCTCATCACCCTTTGGCCAAAAGCTCCTATGACTAGTGCTGGCCGTTCTGACTGTCTTTTGACCACTTGCTCTCAGTCAAGCTCTGTTCCTAGATATGGCCACAGCTTCCCACATGCTGTTGTCTAGGCTGAGCTGTCTCTCTGTCTGGCTTCCAGGGAGCCCCCAGGGCCTTTTGTCTACTGCAACACCAAGAACCCAAGATCCAGAACCAAGATGCTCATGGCCCTATCCGTGGCTGCCTACCTCAACAGCGACTGCAGCTACCATGTTGTTCTTTGCAAACAAGGCTATTGAGCACAGACTAAATCCAAAGATCTGATTCAGACCTTGCATGATCTTGAATCAATCTCCATTCAGCATGAAACCCCCAATGTTGTATAAAGGGCAAAGACCATCATCCCTACTGTGAATGTAAGAAACTAAGCCAGAGCAATTAAATCAGGAGCTTAAGACTAGCTTGGAAGGAGCAGGTGTTGTGGCATATCAAGTTAACCCATTGCACACTGTCAGAACCCTATATGGAAACCAGTTCAAGTCCTGCTGTTCCACTTCTGATCCAGTTCTGTGCCTATGGCCTGGGAAAGCAGTGGAGATGGGCCAAGTCCTTGGGACCCTATAGCCACATGGCAGCCCTGGAAGAAGCTCTTGGTTTCTGGCCTCTGCTTGACCCAGCACCAATTGTTGCAAGCATTTGGGCAGTGAAACAGCAAATGAAAAGTTTTTCTCTCTTTCTTCCTCTCTCTGTCTCTTCCTCCTCTCTCTCTATCTCTCTGTAACTCTGCCTTTCAAATAAATAATCAAATCAAATGTAAAAAACACAGCTTGTGCATCCCTAATCCAAAAATCTGAAATCTGAAAATTGACACAACATGAGTAGAAAGTACCACACCACGAACCAGTTGAACCAACATATTGGCCCCTTCTAGGTTATGTTTTAATGGCTTCCAATTAGTCAAAAGCAAACCAACCTCCCCCATGTTAATGAATTGACCCCACTCTTCTAGGTGTGTTGATTCAATACCTATATATTCGAGAGAGAGAGTGTGCTTCCATTCGCCAACACATTGGTGGGGAGGTGGGAGGAAGAAGTCAGGAGACTGGAACTCAGCCCAGGTCTCACATGTGGGAGGCAGGAACCCAATAGCACAAACTATCACTGTCACCTACCAGAGTCTGTGTCAGCAAAAGGCCAGAGCCAGGGCCAGGGACCGAGGCCAGGTTTTCTAAGATGCAACAATGGCATCCTAAATTAAAACTATGCATTTATTTGAAAATAAAAAATTACAGAAAAAAGAGAAAGCTCTTCCATCTACTGACTCAATCCCCAAGTGGTCATAACAGCCACAGCTGGGCCAGGCTGAAATCAGGAACCTGGAACTCCATTTAGATCTCCTATACAGATCGCAAAAGCCTAATTCCTTGGGCCATCTTTCCACTGCTTTTCCAGGCACTTGAGCAGGGAGCTGGACCAGAAATGAAGCATCCAGGATTTGAATTGGTGCTCTGAAGGTTTATCAGTGTCACAGGTAAAAGCCTTAGCTTGCTGCCCCACAGCCCAAGGCCCAGAGAGCCTGTCCTTCTCTTGGCACACCTTTCACATCTACAGAGTTGGCTGTAGAGCAATGGAGGAGCAGCCTATCTCTGGCAAGTTACCAGTGTGGTCCCCATGCCCACAGACACTAGACACCCTCTCCCACTCCTCACTGAACTGATAGCTTGAATGACAAGAGGAGAATGCTATGGACACACCAGCCTGGGAGGGAAGCATACAGTGTCCTTTCACTCAATCATACCTGACAACGCTGGTCTGGGTATACCCTATCAGGCTAGCAAAGGCTTTTTCCCTGGAAAATGCCATCTTCCCATGAGTCTTCATCTGACTTCCCCATTGCAGCTACTACTGTTGTGTGTCATGCATGCTGTGGGACAAGCCAGTGTTGAGATGCAGTTCCCCTTGTCTTGCAGGCTGTGTCAAATCAGGCATGAACAGTTCAGGTGTCAGAATCAAGACACACCTACATCCCTGTGCTTGGGAAGTCAAAGGGTTGACCTTTATAACCCCAGAAAATGGGGTTTGTTTATCAGTTATGTGAAGACCAACAAAATCTGTCATCCCCTGACATGTAGGCAATTGGATCTAAGTCTGGGACCTCTGTGGACCCCCCTCTCTGAAAAGAAACCCCTAGCCAAGGAAACCAGAAGAGGAAGTTAAGGCCACCAGCTTCTCCTCTGAGCACCCTTGGGGATTGCATTTGCCTTTTAAGCTGTGAGTCTCGGTGTGTGCGAAACCCTGGGAGCAGGGAGGGAGGTGCTTGTAGCCAATGCAGGCTCATGAGTCCCACCTGCATAGACACTCCTTCCCAGTGTCTGCTAAAGGACCTGGGCATCTGTACTTTCATCCAGCTGCTGGTCAAGTCTGGTGCAGGTGAGGCAGAACCATGCTTTGAG